GTAGATAAGATATTTAAGATATACGTAATTCTCTTGCTAAAAATAGATGGTGACAATTTATTTCGGTCTTTTCTAATTCTGAAAAACTGTGTAATTACGCTAAAAATTTGATATTTGTACAGGGTGTTTCACTTAAAAGTTTTAAATAAATATAGGTAAGTAAAAAAGTAAGGAAATTCAAGATACGTTAGTATCCTTGATATTATTCCAGTTTTATTTATTTTTATGCGTTCTTAATATATTTAAAACTTAAATAACGTTCGAAAACCCCAATATTTTATATGGCACAAATATTTATATTATAATTTCCTTTTCCAATAACGTCATAATAATTCAACATGTTTTCGTACAAATATTTTTTCTTTCACTAATACGGACTAACATTCACTTATTTACAGTAACTGTTACACATATTTGGAGCAAATTTGATTTGCGCAAATAACACGGGAGTTAAAAATAACGTTCGACGAAAATAATTATTTCTATATATCCGGGACAATCTAGATAGATAGATAAGCATTTTATTCCTGTAGATAAACATTTACATTTATATAGAATCCGTCAATAGAAAAAATAACAATAAGCACAAACTTACACAAAACAATCAACAAATCAAATTAAATACATTCAGAGTAAAATTCGTCTAAACTATAGAAACATCCCTCGATCAGAAATGCCTTCAAGGATCCAATAAAAGCCTTTCTACCTTTACAGAGTTTTACATCCAAAGGCAACCTATCATATATACTCAAACCTACTACATCAGGTAATCGTCTTGCTATATTAAGCCTTCTAAATGGAACATAAAAATTATTTCTGTTTCCAGTGGAGTACAGGTGGCGATCACCCTGTTTACCAAACGTATCATAATTGTCATAAATAAATGTACAGATTTCCAGCAAATATATACCGGTGAGTGTCAGTATCCTCAGCCTACGAAAGATATTTCTACATGAAGTTTGATTGGTCGCCCCAACCATACAACGAACAATTCGCTTTTGGGATAAAAATACATCAGAGGTCATTGCACCTAATCCCCAAAAGCATATACCGTACTTTAATCTGGCAAATACCTGAGCATAATAGATACATATTAATTGGCTCTGCCTTACATTTCGAAAGAAAAAGCATATAGAAGCAAGCTTTGATGTAAGTGCAAAACAGTGATCCTTCCAGGTCATAGTATCATCAATTATTAGACCGAGAAATTTTACACTCCTATCCTCCCCTAAAATATCATTACCGGCTTTAATATTAAGTTTAAGGTTACTACGGTTCTGAGATGTATGAAATCTCAACAGACTAGTTTTGGCACTATTTAGGTACAAAAAATTGCAATTAAACCAGTCATTTAGGTCACGAAGAGCACCATTACAAGCACTTTCTAAAATATCGCTTTCAGGTCGAGATACAATTAAGGAAGTGTCATCAGCATACAAAGTTGCCGAAACGCCGTCAGGTAAACAATTTTCCAGGTTATTCATGTACAGAAGAAACAACACAGGGCCCAAAACAGAACCCTGAGGCACTCCAACCGTAACATCCACCTGCCGAGAACATACCTCCCGAATCTCTTGACTATGCTTAGAGGTCATTCTAACCGATTGTTTTCTATTTTTTAAAAAACTAGAGATCCATGATAACGCAGATCCTCTTATTCCGTATTTTTCGGACTTATACAAAAGTCTATCAATATTTACATAATCGAATGCCCTGCTGAGGTCGCAAAATATCCCAGCGTGGCACTCACCTCGGTCGACAAAATTAATCAGTTGAGTGTAAAAGGAAGTTATTGCACTATGTGTAGATTTTTTAAACTGAAATCCGTGTTGTGATACTGTCAAAATATCTCTGACACTGGTGACATTTATGGAGTCATTAAAGAAAATAATACATATTTATTGCAGTCTACTCTTTTGCTGTTAATATATTTGAATGGGGCATATACAGTGTGGCCCATTAGGAACTATGACACCCAACTAAAAAATTTTTGGCACGAAACTATTACCATGATTCAGCAGCAAATCACCGACTACTACGATTTTTTTTGCAATCGGTTTTTCCGAAAATTCCTTTAGGGATTTTTTTATTAAAAATATGACAAGGTGGTGTTCTTCAGCATCACTTAAAACACCGGTGGCTCAAATTTCATCAATTTTTATAAAATAATAACTTTTTTATAGAGCCCAAAGGTTTTATTTACTGAATTTGTGTTTCTGTTAAAAAATGTTGGAAATACCCGAACATTATTGTTAATCTACAATATTGTTCCTCTACATACTTTACAAATTAAAATATTAACGTAAAAACAATAGCTCAAAACATAAATTACATAAAGGAAAAGCATTTGCAGTTTAAATATTGGAATATAAACAAATAGAAACAACTTAAATACATTTTTCATACCGCCGCAAAATATTTTTCTATACTTTTCTTGACCTCAGCTGATTTCAGTACATTCTTTCCTTATTTGGATCTTCAGTTTTTTTGCCGTTTTAGTAGACGGTAGTCTTGTGCATAATTCCTCACCGGTAATGGTTAAATACCCATTTTACAAATCTGTGAATAGGGCTTATAGGATGGCCACTTGAGGCCCCAGACCTGATCCCACTGAACTTTTTCCTTTTTTATGTAATTTGTTTAAATAAACATTATCAAGTTACGTTAATACTTAAATTTGTTGTAAAGTAACTCGAGGAACAATATTGTAGATTAACAATAATATTCAGGCATTTCCAATGCTTTCTACATTTTTTAACGGAAACACAAACTCAATAAATAAAACTTTTCGAGGATCTATAAAATAAATAATTCTTCCATAAAAATTGATGAAATTTGGACTATAGGAGTTTTAAGTGATGCTGAAGAACGCTACGTTCGTTGGCAAATTTTTAATAAAAAAAATCCCTAAAGGATTTTCGAAAAAATTTGATTGCAAAAAAAATCGTAGTAGTCTGTGGATCACCGTAATAGGTGTAACAAGTACATTTAGAATACTTAAAATCACACATGCCAAAACTGTTTTAGAATGCATGTAAAAATCCTACACAATCAGATAAATTGAACCTCATTTTAAAAAGAAGAGTCGAGAAACCGATTTTTTGAGAAAGAAGCAACGCATTTTATTACGAAACGAATAAGAAACTGTTTCGGTGTACGTTAGTTACACTTTTGCTATTTTATAAACCAAATAATCAATAAGATAAAAATGTTTATGTTCAAAATATTTTCCATAAATTTGGAAAACGTGCTTTTATTATCCTTTGTTAGAAAAAGAATAGTTTTGAGGTACCATTTCTTAAATTTGATAAATTCTATCCTGCTGCCACCTTAGCGATAGCCTAACTTCCTCGAAAAATATGGGGAATGTCAACAATTAGACGAACCCTCTTGTCCTTTAGTAGCTGACATAATGATGTCAATATTATAGGCCAAAAATAATTGAAATTCATCTGAAGGAACACCTTCTTTACAAACTCACTGCATTTATCTGAAGATTAGCCAACTACTTTTTATTAAATATTTGTTAAAATAATGTTGCTTTTTAATTTTCCGCCTCGAACAAAAAGGGTAAAATTGTCACATCAACTGTACAGGAAAAATTGTATACCTACAATTTACCAAAACACGATCATAGATGGAGCAACCTGGATTGTGCTTTCTAAAACTCCCCTATTTATATTTATATCCAAGGAGATATTTGTCATGTGCTTATATTTCACATATGTATGACATTTGGCGCCATGATTTTGGTCAAATAATTTGCAAATATTTCACACATTTATCTTTAATCAATGATCAATGTTTGGAAAGCGCAGAACTTCCCCTTTTCAATTTAGCCATGGTCATTGGTCAACAATAGTTTCCATTAAAAAAAAAACTTTTACTTGTATGCCAAAAACCGTTTGATTTATTAAAAAAATAATTATACCACTTCTCGTTTAATAGGTGTAAAATTAGAAAAACCACAAGTTCGATCAAGTCTGTTACTGATTTTATCTTGTTTTCCATGGTAACCCACGAAAAACAAGATACTTCAACGTTTGTATTCATAAATTGCCAGTGTTGCGAGAAACAACTACTCCGCGGGCTATATGCCCCGACCGGCATTGAATTACAGTCGCAACACCCAGTGCAACAGTTAGGATTGCTCGTCAGTATAACCCACCAGGCGCAGACCGGTTACGGACTTATTAGTCCTCATCAGTGTGTCATAGGTGAGACAACCGACGAACAATCCAGCTGTTATAGCAGCGCGACCGATGGAGCCATTTGCGCTTCGCGTAGTTTGTATTTATTATTAACACAAATCATTTTCCAATTTCTATAAAGCAATAAATTTTTTTTAATAAAGAATATACTAAATTTGCACGTTTTCCTCGGCAACGCAGCCAAAATCAGTATTTAATATCTTTCGAAGGGAAGGAGATGTCGAAGAACATCTTTTAAAAGATGTGATTGACATCACATGATGAAAAATATTTATGAAATTGGGAGAAATAATTTTGATGATGAACCCTTTGTCCGGAAAAGTTAACCGAGATTTTAAGCGGTCTCCTATTTTCTCTTTCCGTTTTCTTGTAATGGCTAACCATAAGTTCTCAGTCACCCTGTATATTGGTATTCAATGTTTTTAATAATTTCGATGTTATTCGCTTTGCGACTCCTTAGCGGTTGAAATTATACAGATTATATACCTACTATTTACCGAACGGCGGTCTGAACTTCATTGGATGCGCCCCGTACATACGCCCCCGTTCTAGATAGTAAACAGGCCTCAGTCCAAATCGCGGCAGGCGTCGAGCGAGGCGCTCCAATCCATGTCAGGCCATGTCGTGAAGTGAGCTCGCCACACACAGACAAACGCCAACCGCACAACAAAACAAAATAAGATCGATAAATATACAACAATTAACATACCCTCTGCGATAGTGCAGTATGAGCCGATGGAGAGCCGGAGCGTTCCTTTTTCGCTTCTAAAGAGTGTCGTTTCCTTGCAGGAGGATGGAGCCGGGCGTGGTGAAGATAGCGGAGGACAGCGACTTCGACATGCTGAAGTTGTTGGTCGACGACCACACGAACTGGAAGCTGGAGTACGACCAGGGGGGCGCCAAGGTATTTATGCGTTTGTATTTTTTTAATGCGTAGCCGTGAAGACGTCGGAGCGTCGCAGCAGGCGCCGATTGTCAAGTCAGAGCCAGCTCGATAAGAGACGCGGACGGGGACGGGTCCGACATCTAGCGGTTCTGCGTTACACCTCTTACTTGATTTGTTTTGAAGATGGCGCAACAAGTACGAATTAAACTATTGGAGGACTATTTGTAGGAGAGACTACTGCAATATTTTATTTTCACGAAAGAATTCTGAACCATTTGATTTTTTCCAATCAATATACATTTTATAATGAATTAATACAAAATACAAATATTTATTTAAATTTCCATAATATAACTCTAAAAGTTAAGATCAGTTCAAACAATATCATACATTTTGTTTTAAGTAAGTTTGCATACTTGAATAATAAGTGCGCATATTTGAAAACTATAACTTTCTCATAACTTCAAATCCTACCTATCGGAGAAATTTTATTAGCAATTCTTTCTTCTCCGTTTGTCACTGTCGATGTATCTATTTTCAAGGTCGTTAAATTTTTAGTTAATAGTTTTCTTTTATATGAAATTTTTTATTAATTACTGTTTTGAGTTCCTGTCTTTATTTCTTGTTTTATGAATTCCTTATTTAGTCTTAGTTTTTCCTTATGTCTACTATTGTTTTCATTGTGATATAAAATATTGGTCTTAATATACAGAGTGTTTCAGGATTAAGTCGACAAACTTTAACGAGATATTCCTTATAAAAAAATAAGAAAAAAATCAAGTATAATTTTTTTTCCATAGACGCTTCATTTTCGAAATATAGGGCGTTAAAGATTTTTTTTAAAATTCGAATTTTTTAAATAACTTCTAAATCAAGAAGGGTATTTAAGCCAAATTTGGCATGACACATCTTCTTATAATATACCATTTTTCCATAGAAGTAGAAGTCCCACAAGCAACTAGTGGCGGAGTTATGGGGACTCAGACTCGTTAAATTATAAAAAAAATTAATACGGCCCTACTGAAAATAAAAAATGATGCTGTTTTTATATAGAATAGTTTATTATTGACAAAAAGTGTACATTCACTTTTTCCCTAACTCTTATAGTTTAATAGATTTTTTTAATTTTTTTTTATGAGGAATTTCTCCTTAAGGTTTGTCGACTTAATCCAAAAACACCCTGTATAAGTAATTTAATTCCATTTTTATGTTACATCAGTGAACAGTTGTATCAAATCCTTTTTGTAGGTGTAAAATTTGTTCTAAATTTTTAACTATTGTACATAATCCAGGAATTTTGCTACACTGTGTATATTTCAGGTATGGACCAAATCAACCAGCAACTGTAGCTTTAAGATGGTCAAAGTACAAACAGTCTTCCAAAATGTGAATGCCAACACGCTGTTCGACGTGCTTCACGACCCAGACTATAGGAAGGAGTGGGACGAACATATGCAGGCCTCCATAGAAATAGGATACCTAAATCCAAATAATGACGTCGGATATTACGCTTGTGAGTAGTTTGCTCCGGAAGATCTTTTTGTGATGTTTATATGTTATATTTTATAGTATCTTGCCCAACTCCTGTGAAAAATAGAGATTTCATTCTTCAAAGGTCCTGGTTAGATATGGGTAACGAGAAACTAATCCTTAATCATTCGGTTGACCATAAGGATTATGCTCCTAGGAAAGGATATATAAGGTAAGTCTTAAGTCCGACTTTGTGTTTTATGTTTATTTTTCAGGAAAAGTATAAAGCGATGTTTTGTGCCAGACACTGAACAGCATTAAAAATTAAAGTATAGTAGGTTATAACTCACCCACATTCGAAAGTATTCTTATCTAAAACAACCATTGATGTAGACTGGTGCAATCCCAGAAATTGAGATATAACATTAAATGATCTCTTCGTCATGTTAATTGTATAAATATGTCTTAGTATATAAACATATTATTACAGAACATTAACATTGTATAATGTTACTGAATGAAGCACTTTATAACCTTAAAATAGTGAACGTGAGAGCGTTCAGAATATTGAAATCGGTTTTCCGATCAACATTTGTAGCTTACTCTCGGTAATCAGTAAGGTCCGTAGATGAACCGTACATAACTCAAAAACCAGGGACGGATTCAGGATATTGTGTTAACATACTTACATAAATAAATAATAAATCAGGCATTGCCTTTTACCTAGTTATTTTGTATTGTTCAAAACAAGAAAATACATATTTCAATGAGAAAATACTACACTGTAGATACTCGCATATCTAGAGATAAAGAAAATTTGCAGCAACAGTTCTATAATAATATGGATAATCATCCATTCCGTAACTCTGTGATGATTTGTCAGTATATCGCAAATAATCGTTATTTCAAAATAATCGTAGATAGGGATAGACAGAGAAGTAAGTGGTGTCACGTATTTTAATATTGATATTTTTCGATAAAAATAAATAAATTCTATTCCTTATGTATTGCCGTTTAAAGTCAATTTTTCTTAATGTTGCATGAAGATAAAGTACAACACTGGAATGTACGATTGACTCTCGGACCTTATTAATCAAAAAATCATAGAGAAGTGAATGAGATCTCGTTAGATTCGAGGAGGCAAGTTTAACATACTTAATTTAACATTGCCCTACTAGTTTTCGAAATGGAAGAGATCACTGCTACTGCTACTTCCAACTGAATAGGAATAAACTATCTAAACTAAAAGGGACACCCATTTACAATTTAACGTTCCTGTCATCAAAATCGATCACTTCATGTGAAAATTATATTAAATCTATAAAGTAAAAACTACTTACAGTTTGGAAATGCGCTGTGAACAGCACTTTATTAAATAGTTTGCATGCAAGTTTGCGGAATTACCTCATCGCAAGCTCCTAAGTGTCAAGACGTATTAATTAATACCTGCGTTGTAATTATTGCGATGATAATGGAACGCAACCTATCCTAAATTTTTTTATATTTGTATCATGTATTACAAACTACTTTCAGTGTGTATGTACAGCTGTGAACAATAAAAAGTTTCCAACCTAAATTGCGTACGGTCCTTTAAAAACAGGATTTTATTAATTTTAGATTTTAAGGTATAAAGTTTTAGATTGGAAACATTTTTCAGCTCGCTACTGCACTTCTGTAACATAAACTCACGCAATTTTTCTTTGAATTTTTAGAGCAATTTCGCACTTGACAGGTTTCGTGATACGCACCTTGGACGAAGGGTGTTTCCTGGGGTACATTTCTCAAACAGACCCCAAAGGTAAGCTGCCTCCATGGCTGGTCAACAAGATCACGCAAAAATTCGCACCCAAAGTGGTTAAGCAGTTGAGAAAGGCAGCCGAAGGTTACGAATCCTGGAAGGTGCAGCAAAGGAATCCCATGTTCAAGCCTTGGATCTATCCAGAATTAACGCTGCTGTCGCCTAGGGTGAACATTTCCGACGTAAGTAGAAATTATACAGGGCTTCCAATTTTGATACTTTTGCCACAAAATGCCATTTCATTTATTGCCAAGGAACACTTCAATCAGAACAAACTAGTTGCAGTATATTTGTAAATTTTTCAATATTATACCTCAGTGTGTATCCGGATTCCTATGTATAAAATATTAATGCAAGGTAGTGTTCATTATTAAAACAATATTATTAATCTGCCAGCCGGAATATTTGGTCTAGAAACTACATGAACTAGATGAATATCTAACAAGCCATCAGAAGATTACCTAAGAACAAGGAAAAAGTCATTATCTGGTGATAACCTATCTGCCCTGTGTACAAAGATGTACTGACAAGATATTTCACACCTTAGGGAAACACAATATCGTTTTAGCACAGATCATCTACAGCACCTTAAGGAACACGAAGACTGGTCCCCCTTGTACATGCGAAAATTATATTAAACAAACGGAAAAACTTGTCAAGATGAGGATAAAGGAGCACATGTGTCATGTAACCTGAGGGGTTATTGCTTTAATTATCTACCTTTAATTAATTATCTATTATGACCAGTAATATAACGAGTCTGGATTTCACAAGAGTTTACTATTTAATTCTCGAAAGGGAGTTTATAATTATCATTATACTTTAATTTAATACGTGGGAACTTAGAAATGTTGTATGTTCAGAGAATGAATTTCAAGCACTTGCCATTTATTGCTTACGTAGAATGTAATTCAGTAACTGGCTGTACAGGGTGACACTGAAGTTGAGAGAAACAAAAGGAAACACCAAACTTACAGGAACGGGTTTTAACAACAATAAACAAAATAAACAAACAAAACAACAACATAACGGCTCGAACAACATTGTTAATTAATTTATTGACACGCGACAGCGTACTGAGATTCAGGAAATGCGCGCTTCATAGCAAAATTTGGAAAAAACTTTATCCATTATTAAATTTAATTAATTAACCCGAGACTCTAAAGTTAATTATACTGCTCAATGTGAAACCCAAGGAAGAACTGCTTTTCTTGCAGATCTTTCTCGAATTCGACACTTCGCTTCGCCACGCCCATTTCTTGGGTCCAGAAGTTTCTGTTCTTGTCTTATTGGCGGGAATCTAATGGACTGAATTTACCTTTATATAAATAATTATGTGCCTTACAAGTAACCCTAGCCCTCCTCTAGTGACTCCGTGTAGCAAATACGGAACGGATTAGTCGATCTCGTTTAATCTACTCTTATACCTTGGAAAATCCGTCAAAAAACCAGCTTATCATATATCTTTCTTTTCCAATCATAATCTATTTCACAATTTAATTTAATTCTACTTTGGAACCTCTACGCTCTTCTCGTGACTTCGCGCGTTATTAAAAATATAGGTTTCTACGCTGGCGCCTCCCAGACGCAACAGATGTCTGTCACATGGCCCCGACTCTAAGTGAACTTGTTAAAAATATTGGTAAATTTCTCCGAAGGACGACGCTACCTACTTGAAAGCCCTCAACTTTCGATAATTTGTGTTGACGAAAATATTTTAGTTGGCCCATCCATTCCGAGAACTAATAAATGAATGACTACGCGTCCCGGCTTTTGTTACAGTCATTTGAAGAATAATAACCTAGAAAAATCAGCAGTTGCGGAATATAGGGCAGATAAATACAATAGAAAAAATATGGTGAGAGAAAATTTTGGTCAATATAGAGAGGCAATAGAAATCAAGAAGAGATAATTTCAATCCAGATGAACCAGAGTACAATCCATTCATACAGTAAATATAAATACTAACCAGAGGAACAAATTTCCAGTTTCAGAATTTCTTATGAAGAACGTCAGGAAATCTTTTATGTTGTTATAAAAATTGCTTAATGTGTTAAATAATTCATAATAAAAATAATACACTTTCAGTAATAATAACATATGATTAACATTAGATTATGTTAAATTTGGTAAGGTTAAGTTTAGTTCAGTTAAAGTATATATCCATAATTATGTATATTACAGATTTACACTACCATGCATTTATATACAGGGTGCGGAAAAAGGTCTACCAATTTTTTGAGATATTTCAACAGTGTAACAATACTGCATATACACATAAATCCATTCAATATTTTGTTAAGCAAAAATTTAATGCCACCCCCCGTACATTCTGTAGAAAATTTATAAATTTTAATCTATCTAACTTGAATTTCAGCAACTCGAAAATCTTTAATAACATTTTTTCTTATATCTATGAACAATTGAGCATAGGTCCATTTCGTTTTTTGTTTACAAATTGCAAGCATTACAAATATAATTTCACATTTGAATCAAAGTAGCCTGATAAATAAAAATTATGGTTACTACAACAATAATTATTATTTGTCTCAAGATTGCTAATTTGGTTAATACATGTTAATTAATATTTAAACCTTAAACACAAAAAATAATTATTGTTATTATAGCAACCATCATTTTTATTTATCAGGCTACTTTGATAGAAATATGAAATGATATTTTTTAAAATGCTCGTAACTTCTAAACAAAAACGAATCGGATCTACGTTCATATAAGAATTCATCATATAAGTTGGAAATTAACCCAGCTACTATCTGTCAGAGTTTGTCATAGAGCTTGTAGATTAAATTTGGTGAGAAAACAACACATTAAAACTTGCATATTAACTGATTATTTTAAAAACTTAAAATCCAATCGAGTTAACCTGGATTTGTCTGCACCACATTAGCTTAAAAAAAAGAACACGGAGCACCGATTTTACTGTTTTCCATCCATCAGTTTTAAGCCTGTACCAGCCGGAATGGAACACCATGCCCATTAAAATACTGAATACTTACAATATTTACTTCAAAACCTTTTATTTTTATTTTTTTCAGTGCGTGGCCGTCGATGCTGCTGTGAGAGCAACGGAATGTGACGCCGATTCCGATTGACCATAACCACAAATAAGTACTTAGTCTAAGTAATTGAATTTATTAGAAGTAACTTTATACACTGAAGTCTTTCAAGATATATCCTTATCACGTCATGAAAACGCATTAAATATTTTTTAAATGGAACCAAGTCAGACTTGAATTTATTGTAGGTAATAGTAATTTTTTAGCGGAACGTTCAGTTCGCGACTTTTAAGGGAGGCAGCTTTTAAGTGTCCATATAAAAAAAATGTCGATGATATTACTGTTAACCATACATTTCAGACACTTGGCAGAAAATTTTGTATAAATTGATGAGAAACGTGTAAAAGACTAAAAATGTGCATTCTAAAGCTCGACATAATATTTATACGAAAGGCAAATTTACTTAAGGAAACATTAATAATTTTCTTATTTTTTGCAGTATTGAAACATAATATAAGTTTTGCAAGATATTGTATTTTAGATTTGTTTTGTTACGTTACGACTTAATTCACGTTCAAATTTGTTTACATAACAAGCTCGGAGAATTAAAACAATTGTTATTCAAAACACGACGTACGGCTTAAGAGAAGACTAAACGGGGTGTCTCTAAAGGGTCTGTACAGGGTGTCTCAAACTCGATAGTATGGGCCTACTGTGAGGATACAAAAAGTTTAAATAAAACGAGCATTCAATTATTTTCCAACGACTACTTGATCCTTTCTCTAATAAACGTTTATTAGAAAAAAGAGCGCTTTTTAACAGGAAAACAATTTGGGTATGTTTCTGGAAAAATATAATTGATGACGTCATTCGTCGTTTCTGTCAAATCCTAAAGATTAATGCTTTCGATTGATAATGGAGCTTCATCCCATTTAACACGATATGTCCCAAATTTTAATTAAATTTTTTGCATCCTAACAGTAGGCCCGTACTATCGAATTTTAGTCACACAACACTCCACCAGAACCATAGTACGGTTCAAAATAAGTCGATTTAACTATACTCCGCGGTCGAAATTATAGAGAGTGACTCATCGCTAGCTTTTGGACTAGTAAGGGGATGAAGCGTGCCGGGAACGAAAATCCATTGGCGTGTCTGCGTAAAAGGTAACAAGATATAGAAAATATTGAAAAAAGATAATAAAACATAACATCTAATATTTTTTACGGTTTGCTATAACCGGCACTATGATCAATTTTAATTATTACAGCATTTTAAAACGTCCCAGTTGTGTTTTTTTAATTTATAAATTTATTATAGCCATGGAATTAGACCTCTCGTCTACGCTTATGCTATGACGTTTCTCAGGACAGGTTAAATCAAGTCCGTTTACACCCACTAAAAAAGCATTTCCCTATTCCCTACCAAGTTCAAAAGACATAGATAGAATATAGATCGACGTTCAATGTAACTGGCGGCACAAAGATAAATAATATTGAACCGTATAAAAATCATTTTATATTTTATACGCATTATGGTAATAGTGTTTTCATATTTTGTCCGAGTCACTCTCTATAATTTCGACCGCGGAGTATAGACTTGTCTTCCAAAAATTGATAATAACGGAGGTGTAGGGTGTCAAAATTGAAAAAACATCTTTAATATCTTTACTATTAAGAGCTAATTTCGTGAAATTCGTATCCGGGTGTTCCTTGGAATGAGAAATTCGAATTTATCGACGATTTCGTTGTATCTTCTAGACGGTGCCACAAGAGACCATTAGAACTCATTTAAACTGCCAAAACTTTTTTGTATGTTTTTGAAAATAACTTTTAAACATTTTTTTTATGCATTTAGAAATTGAAATGCCATTTTGTTGAAAACGGTTGGTTTTAGAGATATTAGCAAGGTAGGTATGCTTTTTTTAAGCAGAAAAGTTGGGGGAAAAATTTTTTATAGCCCAAAGTGAAATAAATACATCGTGGCACAAAAAAATTTTGGCAGTTTAAATGCGTCCTAATGGTCGCTTGTGGCGCCTTTCTACAAGATACAACGAAATCGTCGATAAATTCGAATTTCTCATCCTAAAAAATCCCCGGATACTAAATTTCACGAAATTGGCTCGAAGTAATCGAAAGATATTAAAGAAAATGTTATTTATTTTTTCAACTTTCACACCCTGTACTTGTTATAATCATTTTTGGACAAGTTTAATTAAATCGCCTTACTTAGAGCCGTACTATATCTGGTGGAGCGTTGTACGGACCCTTTAGAGACACCCTGTATATACCCGTCTATCGGTCTAATTTGAGATTTAAAAAACTGCCTAAAAATCAAAATTATTATTTTGTCTAAAGTCACCAGCACTAGACATTTTCAACACTGAAAAAGGAAAAATAGATTATGGAGTTGATTTGCAAGAATTATCAGCAAATGTCTATATAGTGTAAGTCATAATTAGATGTAAAAATTGAACTAAAAAGGCTGTTTTATGTTTTTTTAGCGACTTCTATGTCTTAGGTAAATAAACTTGTAATCATATTTGGCTATCTCAAAAACTCTCTTATGCTAAGTTTCATCAAAATTTTTTTAAAAATGATCGAGGTAAAGTAGTTTCAAAATCTCATGAGCCGCGAAATGCCCGAAAGGCGTGGCGTATCCACATAATTCCTCTAATAAGCACGTTGTGAAAACATTGACTCAGAATTAGATCACGTGCCTCATTACAACCAGAAATGAAATGAGGCGATCGGGTATCAATAAAGTCAACTGGCGAACGTTCGTTATATATATTTTTATTGCTTAAATTAAAATAATAAAGAATAGAGCATTTTATTATGATATTTGTAATCAGAGCAAAGGCTTGTTTACGCTACGAGAGCTCGAGATAGACTGTGAACAAATGGATGTAATGTTTTTAGGACGTAGAATAATTTAGGTGACGGTCGGAATTATGTTTCTGCGCATATCAAGGTCAAAGCTCATAAGATTTTGAAACAACTCAACCTATCTTAAATAAAAATAAAGAAAAACAGACTATTTGAAGACCTATAACTTTTAAAAGAAGTACAATCCGCACAATATTTGTTGAGTAGAACTCTAAGAAAGAATAAACTAATAAAATTTTGTTATCAGAACTACTGTAACAATTTACCGTGGCAGGGGCGTGCCTTGAAATTTTCCGTGTTGTTTTGAGAATATTAAAATATATACTTATAAAGTAGATTTATTGGATTAAAATGCGCTTTTATTTCTCTTACTGTACAATAGAGTACAAATCATAAATAAACTAGAATACTATTATAAACACGCTGGTACAAAAAAAGATAAAAAAGAAACATGTGTTTAAGTAACCTACTACAGACTCCAATCTGATAAAATTTCGAAATCATCTTCATACCTAGAACTTTCACTTTCAGAAGCTAGCTAAAGATACTCCTGTAGCAGCTACAACACAGTTTTTTAATTGTATTTTATTTTCACTTAAATAAATTCCTTTCTTGTAGTTTTCACCTCTATTATTGTATTTTAATAAGAAATTACACTGAAAATGCACAGGACGATACACTTACGAAGAAACACGCCTTCGTAACTGCAAAACACAATATGCGCTGCAAGCTTCTACGGTGAATGCTACGCCGCCAATGTCTTTCTATCTCGGGTGTCGAATGCGGTTAATTTCAAGAAAGTGACGCAGGGGTCTTCTAGGCATTCTATCTCACAGATATCGTACGGACTGTATTTTGGTTTGAAAGCATATATTCCTTGTTTTCGTCAGAGCAAGATTGGTTAAATTATTTACACCGAATTATGACTTACCCTGTATAATAAAAGGTACATAATAAATAATATTGTTTCCCATAGTCCTGTAGCCAGAGGGGTCCCAATTGCCTCCTTCATTTAGATGGAGTTACCCCAGTGTTTTTTATGTATTTTGAGCTGCAGAACACGAATTTTTTGGGTAGAAGTTTGCCCGGATGTCGATAAGTTTTTTATTAACAAAAAAATTGTAAAATACTGAACACTTAGTTTTTGGCAAAATATAAAAGTACTTTATTGTTATTTGACCCATTTTAACAAGAAAATGTCACTTGCAATTTTTTTGTTAAACGCATAGTTTTCGAGATAAACGCCGTTAAAAACCCGAAAAATGCGATTTTTGCAAACCCGAAAAATGCGATTTTTGCGATTTTCAATTGTTAATAACTTTTGATTGAATAGGTATTTTGTAATTCTGCAGACGGCGTTTGAAAGACGTCAAATACTACAAATTATGAGTAATTGCAGTGTGAAAATTTGTTTTTTCCACTGTTATTTGAAGCTATAAACAAATAGCGATTGAGCGTTCAGAAGGGTGGGCTGCCATGTATGTAATAGAGCGGTTGCCTTCTTACAGGCGTTTAATACACGATCTTGACGCGTACTCTTCATTTCTAGACCAAAGAAACGATGAAAACTGAATGAAACATTAACAATGTAAGGAAAATTTGCAATATTATAATAATTAAAATTATTAAGTTTAAAAAATAATAATTAGAAAAACACGTAAATTATACGACGTTACGCTTTTAATATAAGTAAGTATAAACTATTTTATTATCGTTTATAAAGCAAAGTAGGCACAGACGAGAGCTTTGAAATCAAACTGTGGAATATTTACGAAATTTTGCTAAGGGTAAATATGACTTTTTGGCAAAATAACTGTAATACTTTTCTTTCTTCATTTTGAAATTATTTTGCAGATTGTTCCGACATAAGTATAAAAGATAGCGTGAAAAAAGCTGAAAAGTTCTTAGTTAACATTATAAGAAATGTTGATTGTAGTTGTAAATCATTCTATAATAGAAAATTTGCCACCGACTTCTGATTCGATTAGACTTCACATCTTACGGGCTTTTTACGTTGTTCATATTCAAACGAATGTTTTAAATTAACATATGAACGAAATAGACCCAACTTCATATGAATTTTTTATTAAAGACGATCTAATGTTGCCAGAGAGGGTAAACATCTTAATACCACCTCCCGAAGAATTACCAGCTACCTGCAATTGTGCAATGTGCAGCACAAAAGCATGTAACTGCAATCGACTTCAAATATCTTGCTGCACTTTCTGTGCATGTATGAAAAAAAATACTTGTAAGAATAAAAATATTTGAAACTTTTACAGTTTAGAAAATCGTACATAAAATTATTTTTGTATAATAATTTTGATTATTGTA